TTTTTGTCCCCCCCCCCCCCTTCAGTTACTCTCTCCTATGATATTTATACAAAAACACTTTCTTTACCCAACAGTCCTTAATCGGAGTACCTAAGCTCTTGGAATATCCTGTGGAATATTCCTTTAAAGATGTCTAAAGGTTGAACTAGTCGTTCAAGCCGAATGGAGTGCTCGACCTAGACCGTAGCTGAATCACTCGTTAGTGTATTGCTTCCCATACATGACCTCGACTTGGTTGGCTCTTGGTCGCCCTCCCTTAATTAAGATTCTTTTGTTCACATTTCAATCTATACAGTTAGTCCCTCCGCGCGTCGAGGTTGCCTTTGGGCGAGCTTGGCAGGCGGACTAAGCCAGTTGCATTTTTTGAGAAATCTGAGAATGTTGGTCGAAGAGTGATTCCACCTTGTTGGCGAATTGGCGAGGTGACGCTTCAAAAGCCGCACATGACTGTTACGTCAGTTTGAAATGACACTTTCTTCATGCGTCATTATGGCGCACGTTCCCTATATGTTATATCGTTTCCCTCGCTTCTTCCGTTTCGAAATTAATTAGGTGGCATTTGGGTTTTCTTGATTGGGGTGCCTATGTTCTTATAAATACGGATAGTCACTCCTCATTTGAATTGTTGTGTTTTTAGAGCCTTTGAAGCCCAAGTTCTTTTCTTCTTCCAATTCTCAGCTTCTATGTTTTCTTCCTCTTCTTAGTATCATTTGCTACTTTCATCACTTTCATCTTTATACTTCTTATACACACAATCAAAAAAAATGTCCAATGCTTCCTCTAACCCTGTGACGTTGGATGCAGATATATCTCCCCATGAGGAAGGGGTGGCCGTGGTGGAAGATGAAATTTTTTCCACCGTGGACGAGATAATCCCACGCTCCGGGAAGGCTAGGTCAGACTTCAAAAACCTGCCTAAGGATGAACCTGAACCTGTCATTTCCAAAATGGATGCGGCGGCGATCACTGCGTTTAGAACTAAGTGGAAAATCCCGGCCCATATTGAAATCATTCCCGCTGGTAGTGATGTAGTCCAAACGCACTGTCCGGGGTACTGCGCATTTTATGTGTACCTATTTGTTGTCGGCTATGCGCTTCCTCTTCCTTCCTTGGCAGAGGATTTTTGTCGCTTTTACAATGTATGCCCGGCTCAACTCTCTCCGTACATATACAAGTTTTTCCTCATGCTTATCAAATATGCTAAGTTGTCCAGCTGTGGTATTTCTCTACGTCATGTACTTCACCTCTTCGCCCAAGTTATCACAGGGGCACGATGATTCATATGCTCCATCGAGGGACCAAAGGGTTAGTAATGAAGATGGACGATAAAACTAATCGTCATTTTTGGGAAAATTTCTTCTACGTGAAGACAAAGCACGTGGTATCGAACCCTAGCAGATTCCCCGAGGAGTGGAATTTTGCTCGTAAGTATTTCCCTTCTAAAATGACCGTCGTTTATTTTGGGGTAATCTGATCGTTTTTCTTCTTCCTTTGCAGCCCAACGGGATCCTCCTTTACTAGTTGTTGATATTCGCAACTGGGTGAGTTAGGTTTTGCCCCATACTATAGGGATTCGCGAGTGGTCACACTTCAATGAGAGGTTCGGGCATAGACCTGCGGCCGGTGAGTCACCTTTGGCTTCAATTGTTGGCTTTTATACCGTCATTTCTATCTTCTTATCTCTCTTCTTTGTTTATAGGTCGGAGGGCAGCAAGAAGGACGAGGGCTCCTACACCTGCCTTTCATCAGTTGGGCATCTCAGCCGAACCCGTACTCGTCGTGGCTACAAGTGAGCCTGCTCAGGCCTCCGCTGTCTCTCAGACTTCGACTTCGCGCGGTCTTGGCCGCCCGGCTGCCTCTCCCCTGGCGGGGGTTCTGGCTCCTACAGTTCATTTGGTAGACGAGTCGCTGGAGGACGAAAATGAAGATGCCCCTTTAAAGAGGCGGAGGATAGTGGCTGAGACCGAGGGGCCTTCGAAAAGTGAACTCGTATTGGTGGTGTCTGAACCGGATGGGGGTACTAGTTTGGGCATTGAAATCGTGCCTCCTCCGATCGTGGAGATGGCTTCTTTAGAAGGGGGCAGAGCTCGGAGGCCGTTGTGATCACTTCGAGTGGTCCGTTGACTTCACAACATGCCTATGTTTCCTCTTCAGCTAGTGAGAGGGCTAAGGGCATGGTAGTAGATGACTACGAGTCCGGTTCGGATATTGACCCCGAGGACATAAGAATGTTTAAAGAGGGATTCACTCGGTGGAAGCTGGAACGGATAGTTCCTCTCGCGTGATCGAAATTTCCCCAGACTTAGGTTTGTTGGAGGACACAGTAAGTCTGGTCCCCTAATTTGCTATTCTTTGTTCCGCTACTGAAAACAGGGCCCTTTAGGAGATCAGCGATGCTGGCCTATCACAGGGCGTAGCCGGAATGGCTTTGAGGGTGAGTTTTTTATTGCTTTCTTCGTTTCAGGTCTTCTACTCTTGCTGACTTTTCTTTGTCCTCTTTTCTTTCTTCATACCTTCATTTTGGAGACTGAAAGTCTCCGCCATGTGGAGAGACGAGTTGCCATTTTCTAGAAGATAGTTTCAAAGTACTGTCAATATCGTGACAAGTTCCGCGAGATACATGCACGACTTAGGGAGGGCGGCAATCTTCAATCCCTTAGAGAGGAGTTGGAGCTAAAGGATGAGGACCTGGTGCAGTCCATTGGCAGATGCAGCAAACTCGAGGGGCTGCTTAGGGCTAAAGAAGAGGAGCTTGAGGTGGGAAAGGGGGTTACGACTGAGTGCGTTGATCTTCAGGCAAAGATGGTGGCCTTGCAGGCGGAGCTTGAGCAGAGTGCCACCAGAGTCGCTGGTTTAAGTGTTGAATTGGCGAAGAAAGTGACCGAGCTAGAAAGGAAAGCAGTTGAGCTGGACATGATTGAGAAAGCCCAAGCAGCGGCCTTGGCGAGGGTCGAGGCATCGGAAGATTCTATCCGCGTTCTCAGGTCTGAACGGGCAACTGAAAGGAAAACAACCGCTCTGAAGGAGGCACGGCTTGATGAGCGGATTGGTGGGCTTGAAAGAGATGTCTCTAGCCTGGGTGATCAAATTGTCGCTCTCGAGGCTGAGAGGGCATAATTGTTGGCTTCGACTCCTCCCGCGTCCGTTCCTTGCCATTTGTACGAGATGTGAATCCATGCTGAGGCTCAGTGGGATATATATATATATATAAGGGCTTGTTGGCAGCGGGGAATGTTCTGAAAGCCATTTTTGAATAAGTTTAAGCCAAAGCGCGTGAGGCCCGGGTTGCCTGCGGCTACGACCCCGCGACACTGGAGGCTGATGGGGACGATGAGGCTGAGGACAGGCTTGCCTTTGATGATGAACATTCTAATGGAGAGGTTGATGGTGGAGGTAAAGTCGCTGAACCAAGCGGAGAGAGAGATGATGGCGTGGATGGGGATAATGCTGAGTGAAACCATTGTACTTTTAATTTGTCCTTTTGTACTTAGTTAGTTGGGTGGGGGGCCCTTTTGGCCCTTTGTAAGACACTATCTTTTCTTTTTTCCTTTGAATGAAATAGTCGGTTCGTCTTTTGATTGTATGTCTTTGGCTTTTCCTTCACTTTCTATTCGAATTTCTTGAATTTTTTCACAATAAGTCCCTAACTTTTGGTAGTCTATTCGAGCGGGTCGAATTTGACCTGCTAATTCAGGCGAGGTCGAACTTGACTTGTTAATTCGAGCGATATTGAATTCGGCATGTTAATTCGAGCGAAATCGAATTTTGACTCGTCCATCCGAGAGGAGTTGAA